CTCCCAAAAAAAAAAAAAAAAGAAACTCTGAAGAGAGTCTTGTTCCAGGGAAATTAAAGAATGAACAGACAGAAATAAGAGAATCAAAGAAAACCAAGACAATGGCAAACTTAAAGGTAGGAACAAGTATGGAAATATCAATAATAACATCAAATAATAATAATAAATTCTCTAATCAAGAGACACAGACTGACTAAAATGGACTTAAAAAGTAAACAAAACAAAACAAAAACCAGAAACTCTGTTACCTACAAAAAACACATCTCTTAAATAAAGACGTACATAGACTAAAAAGGAAGGGCTGGAAAAAGGTATTCCATGAAAATGGGAACCAAAAGAGAGCTGGAGTTGTGATACTAATTTCTGACGAAATAGGCTTTAAAATAAAAACTGTATGAAAAGGCAATGAAGGTCACTATATAGTTGTAAAAGGGTTAATCCACCAAGAAGATATAAGGCTTATAAATATGTATGCACTTAACTCAGGAGCACCCAAATACACGAAGGAAAGACTATTAGATCTAAAAGGCGAGATAGAACGCAACACACTAATTGTTGGAAACCTCAACACCCTACTATCTCCTCTGGACAGATCATCTAGACAAAAAAATAAATAAATAGATAAAAGGATCTAAATAATACCATAAATCAAATGGACTTAACAGACATCTATAGAACTTTCCACCCAAAAAATCACGAGATATACTTTTTTCTAACCCCCACATGGAATCTTTTCAAAGACTGACCACATGATACGGTACAAAGCAAGCCTTTACAGATCAAAGGCATAGAAACTATATCCAGCATCTTCTCTGATCATGATGGAATTAAACTTGATATTAATTTCAAGAAAAATCCTAAAAAATACACAAATATAGTCTCTTTGTGGAAGAAGCAGATGCAAGTGGTGCGGAGCTTCTGTGGTGCGGAGCTTCTGTGGCCTGGAGGAGCTTCTGTGGTGCGGAGCTTCTGTGGCCCGGAGCTTCGGTGACCCACTCTGCTCCTGACTCACCGCTGTTCACTCTCGCCAAGGAACAAGTCGGTCAGGAAGCCATGGCTTTTAAAGATACTGGAAAAACACCTGTGGAGCCAGAGGTGGCCATTCACCGAATAAGAATTACTTTAACTAGCCTCAACGTAAAGTCCCTGGAGAAAGTGTGTGCTGCCTTAATCAGAGATGCAAAGGAAAAGAATCTCAAGGTGAAAGGACCAGTT